TCATTCAGATTTTAGTTGTACCATCATTCAGTTGTACCTCAGGTTCCGTTAAAGTAATGGAAGAAATCCACAAAATGAATATGACAGGCAGCAGTGTATATGCTGCTTAGTTTAGGAAAAGGGTACAATTGTTATCCACGATGCCTTTGGAACAAACACCCTTGTCCCACTATTGTACTGTAATTAATGTAAGTTACATGCAACTGAACTGATCACATTGTCTTTCCAGTTACCCTTGCCTGATTTCCTATCTTTCCTGAATTTCTCATCTGTTATTGGATTTAAGCCCCATAGTTTGTACAAGCAGCATCAATGTGCATTACATTTTACAAAGAACAGGTTTAACAAGTCCCAAGGGCTACTCTCTGTCAAACCTGTTCTTTCTAAAGCAACATACCCAAATGACACTGTATAAATACTAATGTGCACACATCCTTAGGAACAAACCCCATTGAACATGGATAGGACTGATATCCAAGTAACCTAGGGCAGACATTTTCTTATTCCACTTTTGTTACTTTGCACTGTCACTTATATGATAATATCAATGAGGATTTTTAAAACTACAACATAAAAATTTGGAAGGGTATTAGGGAAACACTGAGATTTGTGAGTTTAAAATTCCAATTCCACTTAAAATTTCATTCTGTTTGTATTTTAAATAGCATCCTATTCATTTCAGATTAGGAACCCTCTAAACATGCTTCCACAGCCCATCCAGTGCTTCAGTACCCCACATGGAAATACATAAAAGTGTTGACTGGGTGGATTTTATGCTTATCAAAAGCTTCTTTTGGATTTCTATTCTAACTTTATCTAGAAAGGATCATGGTACAGCATGGCTGCTAGGGCACTGTGATAGGAAAAGCCAGATTGGCTGAAATGCTCTTCAGTACCTTGCAATCCAATCCTATGTATATTCAATTAGAGGTTAGTATTGCCAAGTTCCAAGAGATCATTTGATGAGCTGCAGCCAGTCCTGGCTCCCTGACTGGTAAGATGCATACCTTTACAAATGTGCATTGATCACAATCATGACTGATGTTGTTAGATACACATTTTTAACTTTACTTAATTGTACTGCTAAAAGAAATACATTAGGATCCATTTCTCTTTCCCTGAAAGTTCTGGGGATCATTTGTGTGCCTAGCATCCTATCTACATTTTTTTACAGTCAAGCCACATGACAGAAGAACTGGTCAGGTTCAAAAGAAGCCAAGTGGAAACAATGGAGTACCATTGTTTAAAATTAAACTTTTAATTTAAGTTGCTATCCCTGCAGCCTGATCCCAATACATGCTTACATAGACTGGATCAACTTAGTGAGAAATATATCTAGCACGGCAAAGTTTTCTTATAATGGCTCTTGTATTTCCGCACTGTGAAACCAAAAAACCCATTGTTATACGACAAAAATGCAGTAGAGATTTGTTGAGCCATTAGATTTGCAGCCCAATGCCCTTTTTCATAAGCTCCATCTGCTGTTCCACAGACCTAATACAATCACTCTTCCAGAACATGGCTGTAGAGTGCCACATACTTGCATCATGTTGAACTGGTTTCCACCTTTTAAAGGGTCAAAGTAGATAAGATGTAGGAAGCATGTGAACTTGGCTTTTATTTCAGTAGCAATTTCATAGTGCTACTGAAATGACAGAATTTCTAATTTGTCTGGGTGGTGAGGAAGAGATGCTTAGACCTTTCCCTGTGGACAGTTTATTTATGTGGCACCCTGGCTATGGAATGAGTTCTCTAAAGAGGTGCACCTGGAGACTATTCTCTATTCTTTTCAATACCAGATGAAAACATTTCTATTTTCCCAGTATTCTAACAGTTGACTTTTAAATCTTAGTATTAAATTTTATTCTGTACTCCTTCTATACCTCTGTACCAATTAGATTACCACTGTTGTGGTTTTATTGTTCAATTGTTGGATGCTGTGGTGTTTGTTTTATTCTACTCATTTATTGTAAGCCATCCCGAGACATTTGTAGTGGACAGGTTAGAAAAGCTTGTAATAAATAAATAAATGTTTTGTTTTATTGCTCTGTATGTTATTTTTCTGTTTTTCTTGTTTATATGTTTTTAACTTATGCAGACCACCCAGACAGCCTTTGACTATTGAATGGCATAAAAATGGAATAAATAAATAAATAAATATTTCTTCACACTACTTGTCATCTTCCTTTGCTGTATTTCCATCTTCAAGGGAAGAGATACAGGGAAAAGGGAAATAGAAGAGGTGACTTTTATCAAGAAAATGGCTGATTAAAAAAATGTTAAAAATGCCAGTTGTAGAGACGGAATATTTATCAAATGCACAAGTGCCTCCATAAGAGCATCCAGTTAAAACAAGGCATTTGGTATCTGATCATGCATTACCTCCATTTTGGCCCTAAGAGAGGAGGCATACAGCTAGAAAGGCAGGTACCAGTTTTTCTTTTTCTTTTACTCTCCTTCATGAACAAGACTGCAGTAGCAAACTGACCAGGTCTCATGCCTTCGGCAATGCAAGGCCCTCACTTACCATACCCCACCACAGGAAGATTCTGTCTTGCAGTGCTGACAAGCAGACAGTACAAGATGCCTACTCTAAAGTGAGACTGATTGAGATCAATGAGCATCAGGAACAATGCCCTTCCTGAAATGTATTTTAGCACTAATTAGATTGCTATGATATACAGCAAACTTCAGGACAAATGCTGATGAGCCTATCTAATTCCATTGAATTAAAATATGATGCCAGTGTCTTTTGTTTGGTGGTTACTGGCACAATTCTGTGCAAGTTTAAACAGAACAAAGGCCAACAACTCCCACCATGCCATAGTCAGCATAGTTTTTTTCTGTTTATACCTGTGCAGATTTTTACCTAAAACAAACAAACAAAAAAGTAATTTCAAAAATTTGACATTCGAAATCAAGGTAATTTCAAAATTTCAAAACTTAAAAAAAAGTTTTATGAAGAAAATCCCAACCTTTATTGAAACATAAATGATTTGGTTACCTGAAATATGTAATGCATATAAGTTTCCCTGGATTAAACATCTATACTTAATGTTTAAAGGGTTTCTAGCTGGTAAAAATAATATTTTACAGGTTTATAGCTTGTCATATCTCAATTAACAGAGTCCTTTTGAGTCTGGTAACTAGATCAACATGCAGATTTGGAATCTAACAAGTTTTTCTCAAAAGGTTTGCTAGTATTTAGAGCAATAAAACAGCTGTTGTGTTACAAGACAAGATGGATACACCCCATGGAGAACTAACAAGCCATAGAACTCTTCCCTCTCATGAGATTTTTTCCCATTTTTCTTTGGATAATTATTTGAAGTTTGTGCCTTGCTTAGAAATTGGCAAACTTCCTTCAACTTGATCCAGAATTAGCTTGGTATGTATGAAATTTTGCACTGATAATCCAGGTGTAACCTGTGCATTTGCCAACAATGACCTCTCAGCTTATGCTGGAGCATGTGCACTGACAGTGCCATGCACACAATAGTTATTCTCCCAACCCACACACATACTTTGAACACACACACAAGATATGTAGTTTTCAGCACCATTAATCATGGAGAACTGCTTGAAAATTCAAATAGGACTAGGTTGTAGGACAACAATTACATAAAATATTTGCAAGGAAACAATCCTTTGGTCCTTAGACAGCATCTTAGAGACCATAGCAGAGTCTGGATTCCCAGAGACAAAAGAATCATATCTAATCCCACTGCAGCTGGTGCAAAAGAACCACACTGGTTTCTGTTCAAGGTCAGAAAAGCTACCTTGGAGATGGGTAAAGGGGAGATGTTTTAGGGGGAGGAGACTGGAGGGTCACAATATGAGATTCCAGCTGCTTTTATTCTCCCTCTGAGCTGCTCCAGATGTTGTTATACATTGTCAAGTCAACTCTGACTTATGGTGACAATATGTATGAAAGCCTTCAAAAATGTCCAGGTCCTTGACAGTCCTGCTCAGCTCCTGTAAATTCAAGGCCGTGCTTCCTGTATGGAGTGAATTCATCTCATATTTGGTTTCCCTTTTCTTCTTCTATCTTGAATTTCCCTAGCATGATTGGCTTCTTCTGCACCATTCAATCCAGCTTTAAAGCTGCGAACCCTAGTCACATGCAAATATCTGCTTATCTAACTAGAAAGTAAAAGTACACTTTGAAAAGCCCTGGCAATGCTAACTGTAAACCCAATCACTTTCACTTTTCCCTTTCAAAGTGGTTCACTTTTTCTATTATCTCTCTCCAGGCCGGTGAAGATGCTTGACTGACTGAAGCCTGATTCTATGTATCTTTATTTAGAAATGAGTCCAGGTTCAATGGAGTTTACTCTCCAGTAAGCACGCTTACGATTTTGCTGTAATGCCCCAGTCCTGTGTTCCTCTACTCAGGATCAAGTACCAGAGTTCAGTGCGACTTGCATCCAAATAAACTCAGGGACTAGTTCACAGTGACTGGGATCAAGGTCAAACCTACGTCATTTAACTCGAACTGGACAAGTGACTAGGCCGGCGACCTTCTCGCCTGCACCTGCTTACTCAGGAGTTTTGCAACTTTAATTTTCGTAGCTCAAGCGGCTTGTCAAAGGCAATAGAGCAGCAGCCTAAAACGGTGGCAGCCCTCTAACCATCCGTGCCGTGCCGTGCCGTGCCGTGCCAAAGCAGCCCACCGCGATCTTTTAACTAACAGTCAGTATTACTAAGTTGAGCACGATACCGAGCAAACTTCCGTTAACGAAGAAGGGTAGGGAGCAGCTCCAAATGATGAGCGAGAGCAAGAACTTCAGCTTTCCCGGCACTCACTACGCGTGCTCAAAAGATGCCTTTTCCTGCGCCTGCTCCGTGGAGCAGCGAGAGGGCGGTTTGAGAGACGATGCTGTGGGGGAAGAAATTAGAATAATAAAGAGGAGGGAGGAAACAAGCCCCGGCCCGCCCATTCTCGCCTGGTAGCCACGCCTCTTGCCTGCTTGGCTCGGTTCCTTGTTGGGCCAGTCACAGGCTGAGGTGGCAGCTCGCCTTCTTTCGCTCTCTCTCCGCCTCCCAGCTTGGCAGGGCCCGGGTGGGTGTGAGGAGACGAGTGCGGCCGTAGCCAAGGAGGTGGGAAGCAGCGCTCCCTCGGTCGCCTGAGTCCAAGCGTGTGAGGAGCATGAGAGCCAGTTCTCGGGCGCTCCAGCGAGCTAAGCAGGCGCCGTGTCAGTAGCCCCGCTCGCTCGGGCAGAGCTGCCGCCGCTCCTGCCTCAGTGCACAGCAACGGCCGGGACTTCTGCGGGTCCGAGCGCCACCGCCTGCAGAGGCCGCCGAAGAGGGGCAGTGGCTGAGGCTGAAGTAGTGGCGGCGGCGGCGGCGGCGGCGGCTGCCCCATGTCCCGCAAGGCCAATGTGGAATATACCCTGCGGAGCCTGAGCAATCTGATGGGGGAGAAGCGCCGCCGGCAGCAGCAACACCAGGCGTCTGACGGGGGCTCGTCGAGCCTTGGGGAGCGGAGCCTCATTGCCGCCGCCGAGTCTTGCTCCAGCCTCAACAGCCAAGCGTCGGGCGGCGGTGGCGGCGGCGGCGGCGGCGGCGGCTGCGCGGACCTGGAGCGAGCGGCTCGCCGTCAGTTCCAGCAGGACGAGACGCCTGGCTTCGTCTATGTGGTATCGATCTTCTCCGCTTTGGGCGGGTTCCTCTTCGGCTATGACACCGGCGTGGTGTCCGGGGCCCTCTTGCTGCTCAAGAAGGAGCTCAACCTGGACGCTTTCTGGCAAGAGCTGCTGGTGTCCAGCACGGTGGGAGCCGCCGCCTTCTCGGCGCTGCTCGGGGGGGTGCTCAATGGGTGGTGCGGCCGCCGAATCTGCATCCTGCTGGCCAGCTTCATCTTCACCGCCGGAGCTGCCCTCCTGGCTGCCGCTCAGGACAAAGAGACCCTGCTGGGAGGGCGCATCGTGGTGGGACTCGGCATAGGTAGGTGGGGACCTTCCTCTCAGCGGACTTGCCTGATCCCAGGGCGTGCGTCTGCCTCTTGAAACTTTTTGCATCCTCCAGCCCTGCTTTCCCAGTGGATGTTGTGCAGTGCACCCTCTACTGCCAGCACTTCTTGCCTTCTGCGAATGTTTGCGTCCTTTTTACTTTCAGTTCGACTCAGATCGCGCGATCCTATCAACGTGCTTATTAATTCCCGGTTGTTACCGAGCAGTGCTAGTAATTATGCATAGGTTTGCGGTTTGCCCGTTTAGTCCTTTTGCAGTTTGTCTGTTGGACAGGTGTTTTGTATCCTATGGTAGTCATACTTGGAACTATGGAAATGAATGGGACTTAATTTAGAAAATATTGGGTACAACCTATTGAGTTCTTCTTGCTGTTATATTATGCAGTAAACTTGATGCTATGAATTGATGACGGAGAGGGGGCTCATTTCCTAAAGCATTCTTACACACACGTAGGATAATATATGTAGATTAGGCAACTTTTCTGAAGCCAATGCTCAGGATCTAAAAAAAATTAAATTCAGAATTTTTCCATGTAAATATCTTGAGGTTCTCTCCAATTTTGCTCAGCATCTCTTTCCTGCTTTATAACCTTTTGCACCAGTGCCATTTTAAATGACAAAATCCCAACCTGAATAACTTTTGGAATTATGGCATGAACTAGCAAATGAAACCGAGAATGGAATTGTGGTTTCACCATTAGGATGTTGGTGAATTGGGATTTTTGACTTTGCTTAACCACACATACTATCCCCATGTTCATCAGTTATCTAAAGGAAAATGCCAGTCATTTTGTCTCACTTTGCCTCACTGTCTTTTCAAAACTCAAAAATTCAGCTGAGAAGTGATCCTAATGATTTTAGTGAATAGTAGTGTTTGCTTTATCACTGAGTCCCTCATGCTTCCTAGGTAGTGAAATATAATTATGCTATAAACTAAAAGTTACTGCAGGCATTTTTTTAATAAAAGGTATGCTGAAAGACTGATGACACAAAGGTCTTGTGTTAGAGACCAGATGGTGCAACTGATTATATACTGAGGAAAATTTTCACTTATCTGAAGCAGTACCTTCAGATGGAATAATATATAATAGCTTCACTTTTCACAGTAAATCTGTAGCATTTTGTATGCATTTAATATGCATGATGAACAGGTATTATTTCTTATTTCCCTTATTGTAGCATAGGTAGGAGTCATGGTTCTTTCTGATGCATAGTGTCTGAAAATTGTGCTCTCATTTCTTCTGTGACTTGATCTCTAATAATGGCCTGTGCTCTGGTTTAATGTCATTCTATGACATTCCCAGAATTTAAGGTGTTGCCTTTGGAAGATAAACTTATCTCAAATGTTTATATGCTTCCAGTACAGTCCTCTGCATGTCTACTCAGAAGTAAGCCTTACTTTATTCGCAGGTGAATGTGTATTGGATCACAGTTTTAGGCTACACTCCTATGCACACTCACTGTGATATGAGGCTTACTGGATTCAGTGGGACCTACCTCTGAGTAGATATATGCAGAAATTTATTGTTGTGTAAAATTTATTAAAAACAATATATTTGTTAAACGGGCATTCAACTTATTTTTGTTCAGTCCTTATTTACAAGAGCACAGGGAACCTATGTGGTTTCCTGGCTTTCCTTTTCAAAGCAACACTATAAAATAGATTAGACTGGGAGACATTAACTGGGTGAAGATGGATTTGGACCCAGGCATTGGACTCACTGTTTATGAGTTGTTGTTATGTGCAGTCAAGTCATCTTCAACATATGGTGACTGTATGAATAAATGCCCTCCAAAAAGACAGAAATAGACCTAGTGGAAAGCAGCAATTGGGTGTTCACACAAAGGCAAGCAAGTTATCTGCCACAGACCTTTCCCCATCTTATTTCTAAACAGTGCAGTGAAATTAGTTTTGGTAGAACTGATTTCCAAATGTGTGTGCTTAGGATTGTTACCTTCATGTCAGTTGAAATCAAGATGGGCACTTTGTGGCTCTCTCATTATTGATTATGCTTGCTGTTTAGGCTGAAATGTTTCAGCTAGATGTTTCCATGTTTCCTGATCTAAATCTTGGACAAAGTAATTTGTTCTACATAGCAAGGCCATGTAGCTATTCTTTATGCTACTTTATTGGTCACTCTTTCTATGGCTAAAGCCTCTTGCCTCTCTCTCAAATGCTACTCTTGTCATTCTATGTATACTTTATCCTTGTTCTTCCTGTGCATGTCTTCCCCTATTTTCTGACTATTCTCCGCAGAAAGACTTCCTTACCTGTCCAAGCCCATGGTCTTCTCTCTTTCAAATTGATTGATTTCCCTCCTTCATTTGCCCCCACTAATGTGCTTTGTCCCATTAGAATGGGAGCCTGTAAGCAGGCTCATCTTCTTTTTACTCTCTATTTTACCCGTGGCAATATCATAGAATATAGTTGGCAGGGGCCATGAAGTCCATCTAGTACAACCCCCTGCTGTTGCAGGACACTAAGTTACACAGTATAACATTGTCTGCTTTCCTTTTGGAGCTTTGCTTAAATTTGAACTGGAAGTAGCCTGGTCAACTTCTTTGTCTTGTAACTACTTAGTTATAATGCATGCGTCAAGCTTTCTTGTCGAGTCGGAACCTATGAAGCAGATACGTAAACATTCAGAACCATTGTTTCATTTCTTAGAATGATCTGCATCAGTGGAACTGCACAGTTGCAAGTTGGGTGAACTTCCCAAATAAAACTTATCTGTAAATCGATACAAGGAATAGTTCTTGTCCCACAGTATTATTGATGCTGGTATAACAAACTGAGAAGTGAAAATGGTGTAAAATTGCATGTTTCTTCATAGCAATAGTATGCTGCTTATCAGCCATTTGTTGACTCTCTAGCACTTTGAGAAGTTAATGTAATTATATTGAGATAGACTATAATGACTCATGAATAATAAAAATATTACCAGCCCATAATTTAGTGTATTATTTATACTCAGATGAGTTGCAGTTCATGTATTCAACTGTAGGAGCAAAGTAGTGCAAAGTTTCAGGGGTTCAAAATAAGATGTAAGTTGCTTATATGTAAAGTAATTATCAAAGCAATGTTAACCCATACCAGAATTATTAATCACTGAAGCAGCAATTGAGTGAGCATTTGGATAGGGGGGAAAAAGCCTTCAACTCCCAGTATGCTCCAGTCAGTCATGCAGGCATACAAATATCCTGAATGAATGAATGAATGCTGAGACTTGTCAGCCTTTTTGACCTGTCTTAACATATTTGGGATTTTGCTGTAAATTATTTAACCCAACCCTTTAAAAATTACTTTCCTGGAAGCCATAGATGATATGAAATTCTGTGCAGGTATGTGAATTCCATGTGGACAAATGAATGAGGTGGCAGTGGAGTGACAGTGCCTCTTTTTTGTGCCTATCACAGAAACCAAGTGAGCTGCCAAAAGAGGGATACATCCGGTACTGAGCTGGAGTGCGCTGTTAGTTGAGGGATGAGTACCCTGTCCCTCTTCTGCTAGCAGGCTAGTAAAATACTTAGTAAACTTTTGTGGACTTTTTTGCTAGGTTAATTTAGGCTGCTGTGCTCATTATTATTACTTAAAGTTTTAACATTTATGAGTTATGCAAGGTAATTTATAACAATGGGCTAGTTGTACAATATTGGAATCAATAGGTCAGGATAGTTGTTTGATGATCCCTGTTATTTCAGTGGGAACTAAATGCATCTGACTTAGACTGAAGCAACACTTGTAAGCTCAACCAGCGTTTACAAGATTTAAATTTCATAGGAAATAGTAAAGTAAGAATATCATTGGATCTTCACTCTTCCTATGTGTGCTCTGGTTTGACAAGATTTACATAGACTTTTATGTGTATCTTCTGTTTTTCTTGCTTTAAGAAAAAATGCTATTGTAATACATTGGTATGATTCTAGCAATTTGCTTTGAGTTAATCAGAATCCAGTTTTGGATTGAGCTTCGTTCTATTGCTTCTGAAGAGAAAGAGTAACTTTTTCCCCTACTTCATTTTCATGATATGATAAATTTACCACATGAATCGAGAATAGCTTGAATTTAGGCAGTAGTCCTTTTATACAAGGGTAGTCCTATGACACCAAATGTACTGCTTCAAAGACAGCGATGTTTATTAGCCTTAGGTATTCTGCAAGTGTATTATTATTGAAATGTAATCATAATTTTATTTGTACCCAGCTTTCTACTAAAAATGACACTTAAGATAGCTTATGGAAACAATTAAAAGAGATTAAGACAATACATTAAAATACAATAAAAGCAAAAGTATTGTTAAAAGAGGCACTGAACCCAACATATCCACTAACTGGCTAAGGACTTTCTTAAATAAACTACTCTTTATCTACCATTGGAAGAACAACAAGTGAGCAAACCTAGCCTTCCTTGGGAGGACATTTCACAGTCTGGGAGCAACCACCAAACAGGCTTTTTCTCAGGTCACCTCCAAAGGTGATGGTTTTTAAAGAATGGCTTCCCCAACTTAAAAACCAGGTAGGGTCATATGGGAGGAGGAGATATTCCAAGTACTTTGGTCCTAAGCTGTAACATGATAATTTAGCTGTAAAATAAGTTTGTTATAAAATTAGCTAGAAGACGAGTTGGTGAGGGTTGTTGTTGCAGCCTTCAGCATCTTCTAGGATAGCAGCTCTCAAGCTTCTTTTTGTTCTATAAGCCAAACCCTAACAATAGTCTTTCCAGTACAGTGGATGTGTCTGCATTTGTTAGCAAAGTTCTGTGAAGTTTGCTGTCTGTTTTAGCCTTGGATTAGGTTCACCATTTCATCCTTCATTTGTATTTGATCTTGAGAACAGCAAGAAATAAATATGTTGCCTCAAAGACCCGAGGAAAAAGATATTTTTAATGTTGTTCCTTGGTTCTGGCAAGGTCGTCAAAACCAGTACTGTATTATAAATATTATTGGCCCTAGTGTATGCTGTTGAAAAGGACCTT